CTTGAGGTATTTGCGAATGGGCCAGTGCCCAACCTGGGGCCCCTTAGGAGGGCAGGGGGAAGCAAGTGATGGGTGGGGTACAGAAAGGCTCCCCTCAGCACCTGGCCCCACAGGGTCCCACCAAGTGGAGGGGAGGAGACCTGAGGATCCTCTGTGGCCCTAGTGAAGTCTGTTATGCAGCATTATTGATGTCAGTAAATCACAGCAGTAAATAGTAATGTGAGGTAGGGGAGGAATTCCCAGTAAAATATTAAAGTGGGGTGACCGAATCTGGGGGCATCCTAGGAAGGAGGTGCTGGGCGGCCTCAATTCCCACCGCTCACACCCACACCCTGGGTTGGAATGTCAGACTGAGGCCCTGGCTAGGTCCCTCCGCTACTAAATCAGTTTCTAGCAGAGATTTTGTTAACATCTATTATTACCATAGTTCCAGCCTGTGGTGGTGCCTCAGTGAACATTGTTGAGTGGGAACCTGGGTTACATATCGTTAAAAGTCAGATTTATGAATGTGGACTTCTACTTCTGCCCGAGAAAGAATAGCCGGCACAGGACTTGCCCTCCTTCCATGAACAGCTAAAAAACTGGACAAAATATATGAAATAACTGTTTACAAACATTGGACAATAGCAAGTGCACAACTAGGATCCCTGAAAGAGGGAAACAAAAGAGGCAAGCAGAGGATGACCTTACTTTCTGGCTAGAGGAACTTTCCAGATCATGGAACAGGAAGGGGGAACCCATGAGAGCCTACAGCACTGAGTTGAGGAAACAGAGAGGAAAAACTCAGGGACGCCAGGGTGATTGGAATGTGTAAGCATGAGTAATAGAAAGGATGGAACTTTACAGAGAAAACCCTCCAGAGATCTGTATAGGAATGTCCTTGAGTCTTTGGCCAAATACCAATTACACATGTGTAGAATGAAATTGAAATTTGTGAGGTTAGCCAAAGAATAATAACTGTGAGAGACCTATAAGCTGAACAGTTCCCAGAGTTCACACAGGGCCAGAAATCTTTCAAATTTCTACCACCCAGAGCGGAGAGAGCCCAAAAATCTAATACTCCACAGCATAGCATACTTGTGTCCAGCAATAAATGAAAAAATAACCAGATACACAAAGAAGCTACAAAACGTGACCCAGAGTCAGCAGCAAAATCAATCGGTAGAAACACCTAGAAACCACAGAGATGATGGTATTCAGACAATGGACTTTAAACACTTGTTATCAACATGCCCAAGGGTTTAAAAGAAAACCTGAACATAGAGAAAAAGTGTAATGTTTAAAAAAGAACCACCAGTAAAAATCTACAGCTGCAAAATTTGTGTCTCCTTCCAATTCTTCATGTATTTTGAGGCTCTGTTAAGTGCATATACATTTAGGATAAATTGGATTTATCCATGGATCGACTTCTTTATCATTGTTAAATGTCTGTAGTTGTCTCCAATTAACACTTCTCGTCCTTGGGTCTACTTCATTGGATATTAATATGACCACACCACCTTTCTTATGATTAGTGTGTGCATGGTGTATTGTTTTTCATTCTTTTACATTTAATCCATCTGTTTCTTTACAGCAAGTTGGGTTTCTTACAAAGAAATATGTATATAGTTGGATATTTGTTTTTTAAAAGTCTGAGTTTTTTGTCTTTTAAGTAATGTGTTTAGTTCGTTTATATTTAAAGTAATTATTTAAATTATTTAAATTATTATATTTGTTTTCTATTTGTCTCATCCATTCTTTGTTCCTTCCTTCCTCTTTTTCTGCCTTCTATTGGGTTAGTTGAGTATTTTTTGTATTCCGTTTTATCTTCTCTGCCTTATATTTGTCTGTTTCTGTTGCTTATGACAAAATACACAGAACTGGGAAATTTTTAAGAAAACAAAATTTATTGCTTATAGTTTCAGAGGTGGGGAAGTCTAAAGTCCAGGGAACATAGCTGGTAAAGGCCTTGGTGATGGCGACACTGATCCAGGGGTCTCACATAGCAGAACGGTGGAGCACAGAGAAGGATAGCTCCTCATGCTCTCTCCTTTTAAAGCCTTTGAGACCACACCCCTGACCACCGTTATTAATCCATTCACTCTGAACCTAATCTAATTACCTCTTCAAGGCCCCACCCTTCAATTACCATAACAGGATTTCCCACCCTCAACAGTTACAGTGGGGATTTAAGCTTCGGTGAGGTTGGGAGGGCATCCAATCTATAGCAGGCCTATTAGTTATTCTTCTTTGGTTTTTTAATATCTTCTCCAAGGTTTGCAATATGCATCTTTAGCTTAACACAAGCTCCAAATAGTGTTATACCACTTTGTGTATAACATAAGACCCTATAGTGGTACAGTTTCACTTTCCCCAGTGAGATGCTAGTATACTTTAAACAACCAGATCTTCAGGGTGAGAAAGACCGTGATT